ATGGGGCTATTGGGCTATAGGGCTATTGGGCTATAGGGCTCCAGGCCTATGAGACTTTGGGGCTATAAGGCACCCGGGCACCCAGGCACCGGGGCACCCGGGCAACCGGGCACCCGGGCGGGCCGCGGAAATCGGCTTCAAAGCACCACACGTGTTGCACAACAACACAACGGAAAGTGCACAAGCTAGATGGCACCACATACACTTATCCGAGTAGATTGCACAACATGTATTGCACCACACATACCGCACCACAGATTGCACAATATAAAATGCACAAGGTATATTGCACAACATGGATTGCACCACATGGGTTGCTTCACTATATTGCACCACATAGATCGCACAACCTACACTGCACAACGTATATTGCATACCACATACTGCATGACATAGAGTGCGCCACCTAGTTTGCACCACATAGATAAGTGCACAGCCTTAGTTGCACAACATATACTGCACACCATGTATTGCACCGCATTAGATGCTCCACAGATATCGCACCAGATAGTTCGCACCACATAGAATGTGCACCATACATTGCACAACATAAGTTGTGCAACATAGATTGCACCACGTAGGTTGCGTCACATTGATTTCTCTACATGTTGCACCTCGTAGCTCCCACCGCTTTGACTGCACGACATAACTTGCACAACATAGAACGCACCACAGAGATTGCCCCACACATATTGTACGGCATGTATCGCTAGAAACGCACTGTTTTGGGGTCCGCGCTCGCGAACATTTGAGATTCGCCGTGTTACAGTTATCCTTGTTGTCGTCGTCGCCTGCTCCGCGACTCACACGCAACCTGTCCCGCGTCCCTGCGATCCGCCCGGTACTTACCCCGCAAGTCACCCCACGACCCACCCGCGATCCACCCCGCGACCCACACCCACGACCTCCGCACCCACGACCCACCTTCATCGCGACCCGCGACGACCCACTCGCTTCCTGACTGGCGCTGTCTTTAAAAATCAAAACGGCGCGCTCGATGGACTGCGGCGCCCCGCGGCTAAATGTTTGTTACGTTGGCGCTCGGGCTCCGCAGACCATGCAGGGCAGCGCGGGCGACGTTTATTTTTATCCGCAGTTGTGTTCCGCCTCGGTTGCCAGAAAAAGAAGGATGGACGTTTGCCAGCGTGGACCCCAAACAGTAGATTTCTGCACTTGCGAAGGATGAGAGGCAATCTAGGTGGTCCGATCTACGCGGGGCAAAAGATGTGGCGCAAGATCTGTTGCCCAAGCTGTGTGGTACAGACTGCTGGGTGCAATCTCCGCGGTGCAATTAACTGGCGCCACGAATGAGGTGTCAACTCCATTGCTCGCGCAAACATCCCACCCTCCCACCCGCAACTTGTTTTGCAAAACCCGTGCGCCACGATTGCGGTAATTGCTTGGCCTTATTGATGCATCTTTGCGGCCGCGCTGGCGCGCATAAGCTGACAGGCCAGCTGGTTTGGCAAAATTGATGCGGCCGCGGTGGCGCTTACCGATGGGAACGTCCCAGGGCGTCTCAAAGACCGCGGTGGCGCGCTGCACTTCAATGCGGGCGGGTGGCTCGGGCGGGCGCGATATCGTCAGGAAGTCGACAACGGCGGCAACCGTGATGATCATAGCGATGGTGATGGCGATAATGACGATAACGGTGGCAAGGTCAGTATCGGCGCCGATGCTGGTGTCGACGATGACGATGTCCATGTCTCGGTGATGAAGGTGTTTGTGCTGATGGTGGCGACAATGGCGGCGCTTGGAGTTAACGATAATGGCCTTGCTGCGATGGCGCTCATGGGGACGACCGTGAGGAAGTGCGCGCGCAGAAATTCAAGACTGCATGTTGTTGTTTGGCACGTACAGATTCGCGCAGATGTGTTTTTTTCATGCGAGTTCGGCAAGTGCGCGCGGGGGGCATCTGCATTGCTAACTACGGAAAAACAAATGTGTGATTCGAATGTTTGTATGTTGACAGGTTGAAATGTCTGCAGTACGAATATGTCTGGTCTGATTTCGACAACTGCGCGCGTGTGGACGTTTCGTGTATTTTGCCAGGGATTTTCGAAGAACGATATTCTGGGATCAACAATTGCCCGTGCATGGTTCTTCCGACAGGAATGATGTTGGGCGATGCCGGTTGGGCTGGGATCGTATGCTTGTCTGCCAAGCGAACGATGAGGCAGAAGCATGCGTATATTGCATTACGGAATCAGGGATTGCTAGCTTTGGGCGCCGAGGCGTGGTAGCGATAGCTTCTCGCTTGGAAAGAGAGCCTACCCACCGCGCAACATCCGCGCGTGACCACCTCCGATGCTCGTGCAAGCATCCCAGCTTCCCACCCGCAAAATGTTGGCGAGGCTCATGCGGCCATGATCTCAACGATCGCACGGGCGCGCGGAACTCACCCGCACGCGCGCAGATATCTGTCGAGGGCGACGAACTCAACGATGACAGCGATGACGATCATTTCGACGATAATGATGATGACGATGATGACGATGGCAATGATGACGCCGACGATGATGATAGCGATTGTGCCGATGGGATGGTGAGAAACTGCTCGCCCGCGGAAACCCAGACGCCGTGACATGATTGAGTGAAAGCCGTTCGGTTTTTGCATGTTCTCAAACAGCTCGGTGATGAAGTGATTCGAAAACCAATTGTTCTGAACGGATTTCAACACGCGCGCGCAGAAATGCCCGCGTGTGGCCCGCATTGTATTATTTGACTGAGTTGTTGGGCGCGCGATGGTGGTTGAACGTTTTCGACATGCGCGCGTAAGCGGTCCGCATGGTCTGATTTGCCGGAATGGCTAGACACATGTTGGTTTGAAGTGTTCAGCGATTGGCGCACGGGCAGAAATTTGGCAATTGTTGTGTTGAAAACATCGTTGTCCCTGATAGATTTTGATTAGCCATGTTTTGAAGTTACGTATATGCTTGTTGCAAGATGTTGCGCGCAGCGGCGCGCGCAATGATTCTCAGTTTGACGCACGTGCACCGCAGAGATATTTTGCCAGAGATGGCTAGAGTTGTCGATACTGTATTGGTTGGGCTGCTACTATTTGACATGGAGGATGAACGATCATGCGGATCAATCGTGAAAACACATGGAGGGGGACCACGAGCCCCGGCTAGCCCTGGCCTCGTAGTGGGGGGGTAGATACGCATTATTGTTTCCCATAGCATGTATACATATCTATATATATATATATATATATATATATGTGGGGAACTGTATCAGCGCACGGCGCGGGGACGAGGCCGGCACGGACGGGCGTCAGGCGAAAACGCAGAAATGTCAGCCAGCGAACGGGGCGGGCCCGAGGTGGCCATCAGCGGACAGAGGGCGAAAATTGGGAACACACCTAGCGCAAGGGGCGGGCGCTGGGCGAAAATTCGGAAGCTCGGGCCAAGGCCTTACGAAGCAAATGGGAATTCTTTAGTGCAGTCACTGCGTCGGAAATCCAAGACGGCGCACGGTGGAGGCCAAGGGAGCTGGCAAATACAAGGTTCGCTAGGCCCTCCGCTTTGATTATACCTTCCAGTACTGGCAGCATTCGTAGGTTGAGCCTTCATATCCAGAAGAAGACGCAGCAGGCTTAGCATGTCCATTTTAGTCGGCTTGCGCTGCTTGCAAACACCAACTCGTTTACACAAAAAAGATAAATCTACACCGCCGTGATTGTTTTGATGTTGACAGGTTTTCACTGTGAGTAGCTACAGTCGAGCATCTGATTAAGAAACCTCCTCCCGAAGAGCTGGGGCAGCGTTTCTCGACCAACTCGCCGGAGAGCTGGCCCAGTTTCTTGAGCACGTTCGCCCAGCCAGCTTTGAGACGAACACTTGGCCCAGGTCTGGCTCAAGAAACTCCCGGAAAGCTGGCCCAGGTTTCTTCAATGATGATTTCCTTGATCATACTTGTTGCAGTTCACCTCAAGTCGTGCGGTCTTGTGCAGATGCAGCAGAAGCTCTGGCGCTGCCGATCGCCTGCAGAGCAGGCATGCTGCGATGCTGCCAAGTGCCCCAACAGCTCATCCATCTTCACGAGCGACACGCTCGGCGGCTCGCCGAGGGGGGAAAGTGTTGGGGGGCAGACCTTCTCAGAAGGCGGCAGGGCATCTCAGAAGCCCACCGGCCTTCTCAGAAGCCCTCGGTGGCTACGGAAAGACCTTCTGAGAAGGCCTGCCCCCTCTGGCGTCCCCCCTGGGCGCCAGCCAGAGACGGAGGCGAGATGGAGCAATGCGCCAGACACGACCAGGATCTGCGCGGCAGTGCCAAAAACAACGGCGGGTGACGATGTCCCACGCCAGCGAAAACCGTGAACGCGAAGTTGGTCAAGGAGTTGATCGCATGTTTCAGGAAAGGCCCACAGATGTGGCAGAGGGCCACAGGCTGGTCAGGATCATGGACAAGACCAGGCATGACAACGTGCGACTTCGACACGAGGGTTCCGATTTCGAGATCAAGAGGGATCGAGACGGCGATCAGGTTTACCTCCGAAGGGGATCCGAACAGGACCTCCGTGCGCCATTGCTTCAGCAAATTGCAGCGCCTTAGCTACGGCCAAAAGGTCTTAGCTCAGCGCTGGCTCAAGATCAATACCTATCCCGTCAACCCAAACCGCTTCATCAATCCACTCCGCGGTCGACCCGCGGCTCCTCACCAGAGGATTCATTGTATCAATAGTTGACGGTCTTGCCCCTCCTCCTCCCACTCCGCGTCCTCCTTTCCTTCCGCGTTCCATCTAGTCTATTTCTGGATTCCCGCCAGGACAGGGGCGCACTCAGTCAGTCAGCTGGTCCTCTTTTCCAATGCGGATTACCCGGTTGTTGGATTCGTTCCCGTTTCGTTTCACCGAACCAGTGGAATAGGAGAATTTTGGCGATCAGCGCAGCGCAGCGAACAGTGCACGTGCCATTTGGAGGCCCAGCAGAGGTGGAGGGCATACTTCGTTTGTGATGTCAGGCCGTGTCCCTTCCTTATCCAGCAGCATCTGCAGAGGTGCTGGACCTCAAGTCCTTGCGGAGTCAAGTCGCGCTGACTTTCCGCGATGGTAAGGACGCACGTTTTGTCTGTGTTGTCGACCACATGTAGCTCTCCATTGTGCTTCTCCTCTCTTATCCCATGCAACCCCTGACCGTTTCTCTTTCTCTCTCTCTCTCTCTCTCTCTCTTTCTCTCTATTGAGTTGGTCTCCTTTCCCCCCCCCCCCCTCATTTCTCCGTTGTGTTCGCCTTCTCCTTCCCCATCTTATTATGCCTATTCAAGTCCTGAGGTTTCCCGCTTCGCATCCCATTGTTTCATATCTATCCTCGACTTCTCTGTTCTCCTTATTCTCTCTCTCTCTCTCTCTCTCTCTCACTCTCTCTCTCTCTCTCTCTTGCTTTCTCACTTCTCCCCCTCTTCCTCACAGTTCCTCTTTCTATGCAATATTAAACCAGCCCCCCTGATCGTTTCCCCATGTCTTCTCGTTAAGAGGTACCATCCCCATCGAGACAAGTGATATCGGTCTCGAGAGCCCGAACCAGCGCGATGGGAACGATTCATGACCTGGCTTCTCGCTCAGAGTCTTCGGATCTATGGCACTGGTAATCTTGATGGTCCGTGACCGTGCAATCGATCCATCGGCGTCATCTTAACAACATCGTCTGCACGCTCCAGGAGTGGTCAGGACTCGAGCTACGCCAACTTAGACTTGATCCGCGCAGTGCGAAGTGCAGATCCGAGTGGAGAACAGAAAGCATTGAGCTCGCAATTCACCAGGATCTTGAAGCATCGCCAAGCCTCGCAAACCGTGTACGTTTTCCGACGGCGCACTACGATGCAGATTTGCCACGTCATCACTGATGGGAGGAAGAATACACAGCTGAGTTTGGAGTGGACGATGCAAGTATACTTCGCAAGATATCTGAGACACAGCACACTGATCAAGCATTATGCAAGAAAGTCGCCCACTGAACATGTTTAGGAACGGATCCGACACGTAACTCGCCCGCATTGCGGCAGCAGCCCAGAAGCACGACCACGACGCAGGCATAGGGTCTCTCACGTCATGCCCAGGTCGGCACCCTTGGGCTGACCTTCGCAGGTCCAGCGGCAGAGCTGGCCCATCCATACACCATCTGGGGCTCGACCGGGGCGCGGAGATAGCCGGCGCTCCCCGCGGGCTGGACCCCGGAGCATGCCCCTCTCCAAGGCATTTAGACAAGTTCTGGGGCACCGGGATAAATTATCCGACTCCCCCACCCCGTCCCTGACGGACTCTGACTGGCCGACTGGCTGATTCCCCGACGGGCCGACTGGCCGACTGGTCGACTGCGGAGTCGGAAAGCTCTTTCTGGTGCCTCAAAAGTTGTCCTTCTCAAGGCATGGGGGGGAGAGGGGGCGCAAGCGTGCGAAGGTAGGCCCGCCCTTGAAAACGGGTCAGGATGGACCCCTGGAGGGGCACAGGGATGGATCTTGAGCGCACTGGCCGCAACCGCAACCTCCGACCGAGCAGCCCAGGGAGCGGTTCGCTCCTCCTCCTCCTCGTCCTCCTCCTCCTCCTCCTCCTCCTCCTCCTCCTCCTCCTCCGCCTCCCCTCCTCCTCCTCCTCCTCCTCCTCCTCCTCCTCCTCCTCCTCCTCCTCCTCCTCCTCCTCCTCCTCATCCTCCTCCTCCTCCTCCTCCTCCTCCTCCTCCTCCTCCTCCTCCTCCTCCTCCTCCTCCTCCTCCTCCTCCCTCTTGGGTGTGCGCGAGGCGTCCGTCCCGCGAGGCGAACCGCCAGGGGCCCACGCTGCTCAGGAGGGAAGGGCTCAGAAGACGATGAGCTGCTCCTCGTCCCCTCGATTGCTGATTCGATGTTGGGGCCGCGCGCCAGCTCACTCGGCCAGTGAGAACACCGATGGATCCCAGCCGCTGATGCCCTTCGACGAGTACGTGCTCTACCTCCGCCAGATGGACTGCATCCACTGGCCGAACACCCCGGCCCCCCTGAACGACGAAGGGCTGAGACAGGCTGCTCCGGCTTCGGGCCGTGCCACGGGGGGTGACCAGCTGGGGGTCGAGGAGGAGGGAGGATCGAGGATCGAGGAGGAGGAGGAGGAGGAGGAGCAGGAGGAGGAGGAGGAGAATCGAGGATCGAGGATCGAAAATCGACGGTCGATGAGGAGGGAGGATCGAAAATCGACGGTCGAGGAGAAGGGAGGATCGAGGATCGAGAAGGTTTTTGGGTGCGCTTGGGGTCCTGGGATGCTATGGGGGGTTCCAGCGGGGCTCGTTTCCTAGAGGAGGTGGCGGCCCCCTCGGTGGTGACCCCCCTTTGGCATTGCCTGGCCAGGGGCGCGCAGCAGGCGCGACCTCGCCCTCTGCTGCGTTTCACCCCTTCCTTCTGCGGCCTGCCCCTCTGGAGGCAGGCCACTTTCCAGCTTCCTAGCGGCCTCTCCCCTCCCCTCCCCCGCTCGCGGGCAGGGGTCGGCATCGGCAGACCTGCCCCCATCCCCCGTGGGCCAGGGCTCCCCAGCA